GACAGCATGAATGAATAAATGAATGACAATAAATGTATGAATGATAGAATGAATGAATGACAATAAATGAATGACAGAATCAATGGATGACAGAATGAATAAATGACCGAATGAATGGATGACTGAATAAATAAATGACTGAATAAATGGATGACAGAATGAATAAATGACCAAATGCATGGATGACTGAATAAATGAATGACCGAATGAATGAATGACAGAATGAATGAATGACTGAATAAATGAATGACGAATAAATGAATGACTGAATAAATAAATGACGAATGAATGAATAAATGAATAAATTAATGAATGACTGAATAAATAAATGACGAATGAATGGATGATTGAATGAATGGATGACAGAATGAATAAATGACCAAATGCATGGATGACTGATTAAATGAATGACAGAATGAATGAATGACTGAATAAATGAATGACAGAATGAATGAATGACTGAATAAATGAATGACGAATGAATGAATGACTGAATAAATAAATGACGAATGAATGAATAAATTAATAAATTAATGAATGACAGAATAAATGAATGACCGAATTAATGGGTGACAGAAAAATTGAACGAATCAATGACCGAATGAATGAATGAATGAATTGATGACAAACTAAATGAATGACAGAATGAATGACAATGAATGAACGTATGACAATGAATGATTGAATGTATGACAATGAATGACAGAAATAATAAATGAATGACAGAAAGAAAAAAAAAAAGACAGAATGAATGACAATGAATGAATGGTTGACAGAATGAATGACAGAATTAATAAATAATTGAATGACTGAATGAATGAACGAATGAATGAATAAATGACAGAATGAATGAATGAGCAAACGAATGAATGATTGAATAAAAACAGAATGAATGAATGAATGAATGAATGAATGAATGAATGAATGAATGAATAATTGAATAACAGAATGAATGACAGAATGAATATATGACAGAATTAATGAATCAATGACAGAATGAATCAATGGATGACAGAACGAATGAGTCGAAGGTAACAGAGTTGACGATAAAATAGTTAAATGAATGAATGAATTCATGACAGAATGAATGACATAAATATTTGAATGAATGAATGAATGAATCACCATAGTGTCTGCTGCTCCTCCAGAAACGCAGTGCACAGTGAAAAGCACCGTCCAGCCACAGCAGGATCCAGCTGATGCAGAAGCCCATCAGGAGACCCAGAACCAGATCCAGCTCCTGTTTGCTCACGCTGCTGCCCGCTGGCGGGGCCCCGGAGCCTGCGGAGAGAGAGCCTGAGCCCTCGTACGGGATCACATACTCCACATGATGCCTACCAGAGAAGCAGAACATCAGAACATTACTGTACACTCAAGAAAACAATACAAAACTGGACCCCACATGATGACGACCAGAAGAGCAGAACATTTTCCCCATTCATTTTTAATTTAAACCTGTTATAATTAGAGTTGACAGTAACAGAGTTAAAGGTAACAAGATTGATGGTAACAGAGTCGATGAAAACAGGGTCAACGGTAACATAGTTGACGGTAACAGGGTAAACGAAAACAGAGTTGATGAAAACAGTTGACAGTACCAGTCAACAGTAACAAATTCGGCAGTAAAAGAGTCGACGGTTACAAAATCGAAGGTAACAGTGTTGACAAAAACAAAGTTGGTGAAAACAGAGTTGACAATAACAGAGTTGAAGGGAACAGCGTCGATACTAACAGAGTAGAGGAAACAGGGTCGCAGTAACAGGGTTGACGAAAACAGAGTTAGCGAAAACAGAGTTGATGATAACAGAGTTAAGCATGACAGGGTTGAGGGTAACGGGGTTGAGGGTAACAGGATTGAGGGTAAGAGGGTTAAGGAAAATGGGTTGAGGGTTACAGGATTGAGGGTAAGAGGGTTGAGGGTAACAGGGTTGAGGTAAACAGGATTGAGGGTAAGAGGGTTGAGGGTAACAGGGTTGAGGGTAACAGGGTTGAGGTAAACAGGATTGAGGGTAAAAGGGTTGAGGGTAAGAGAGTTGAGGGTAACGGGGTTGAGGGTAACAGGATTGAGGGTAAGAGGGTTGAGGGTAACGGGGTTGAGGGTAACAGGATTGAGGGTAAGAGGGTTGAGGGTAACAGGGTTGAGGTAAACAGGATTGAGGGTAAAAGGGTTGAGGGTAAGAGAGTTGAGGGTAACGGGGTTGAGGGTAACAGGATTGAGGGTAAGAGGGTTGAGGGTAACGAGGTTGAGGGTAAGAGGGTTGAGGGTAAGAGGGTTGAGGGTAACAGGATTGAGGGTAAGATGGTTGAGGGTAACGAGGTTGAGGGTAAGAGGGTTAAGGGAAACAGGGTTAAGGGTTACAGGATTGAGGGTAAGAGTGTTGAGGGTAACGGGGTTAAGGTAAACAGGATTGAGGGTAAAAGGGTTGAGGATAAGAGGGTTGAGGGTAAGAGGGTTGGGGGTAATGGGGTTGAGGGTAAGAGGGTTGAGGCTAAGAGGGTTGAGGGTAACAGGACTGAGGGTAAGATGGTTGAGGGTAACAGGATTGAGGGTAACAGGGTTTTGGGTAAGAGTGTTGAGGGTAACAGGGTTGACACACACACACACACACACACACTCACTCCAGCTGTTTATGTGTGGAGTTTGACATGTTTCTCCTCCTCAGTTGCTGCAGATGCTTGTTCTGCACGTTATCTTCGAGCGGGTTTCTGCACTATTCTGCGGTGCAGATTTATATATAGGTGTGTGGAGCACTGCTAGCGTCTGCATCTCTGGAGTGAACAGCAGAGCGCTGGCGTGGGTCTCAGTCTCCGTCAGACTCATCAGTGTGTGGGAGTGGATCTCTCCAGCTCTGCTCAGCTCGGCTCTGCTGTGTCTCTGTAATGCGACCTGCTCTTGTTTTCATCTGCTGATGTCCAGCGGTTCAGCAGTTCAGGTGTCCGGTGTTCAACAAGCTCTTCTCCATCACCTGTGACGGAGGCTCAGGTGAACAGCAACTCACCCAAATAACCCAAACCCAGCACTGGAAAACTACTGACCCCAACACCTGACTGTCTCCACAAACCTCCTCTCATGAGCGTCAGTGTGTCGTCAGGAGTCATGGGGGCTGCTTTTACACTGCCCGAGCGTGACGATTGACAGCAGAACACACACACCTGTCTATACTGACAGCACACGCTCACCTGTGCACATCCATCCCCTGATAATCATGTCTGTTTAGGTCATCTCCAATCAAAACCTGAGCTTCTGCATTTGGATTGGCTCCGTCTCTGATGATGTCAGTCTTAGCCACGCCCCTGTCACGTTAGTTTGCTGTGAGGGAATGATGCTCAGAAACACCGGCCTTCAGTCAGAGACGCTTCTCCATGTAAAGCCAGACATGGAGCTTTCCTGATGATCAACAGTGACATGGCGAACAGTGAACTGATCATGCGCTGTCATGCACACCATACACTGTTTGCTTTGGTTTTGTAAATATTTCCCAAAATGTGTGTCAAAACAAGATTAGTCTGCATAAATCATCACACTGGCTGAAACACAGAGAACTGTGACCTCAAAATCAGCCCAGAGTGGAGGAAACCGCCCCGACAGCACACACGGGTTCAATAAACAGGTGTTTTCAGCAAGAACAAAGAAGGCGTGTCTTACCTGCCGCAGGTGCAGTGACACACGCGCTCGGGTCCGCGCATGCGCGGCAGGATGAAGTTGTGAAATCGGTCCAGCAGCGCGTTCATGTCGGACACACACACGATGGCCTGGAAAACAGCAAAACTACTGCCATTTCCCCGCGATCAGCGCTTAAATCTGCACCGCAACATGCCTCTCCACAGAACAGCACACAATTATCAGTAAAGCTGAGCTGCAGGCAGGCAGAGTTATGTAATTCCTCAGCAGAATCTTCACACAGATCTTCTTACCAGCACCAGAACCGCTCCAGCCAGCATAAACATCATCTTCATCCACACAGCATCATCATCATCATCATCATCACGGCGCGGAGATGCTCCTCACAGAACACACACACACATCACCACCATCATCTTCATCACTTGAGACGGAATTCAGCTCATCTGACCACCGTCATCCTCATCTTCCGTCAAGCGGAGCTCATCCGCGCGGGTCTCCGGTGTTTGTGTGCCCGGCCAGAGGCGCTGTTTCCGGCGGAGCATCAGATGGCTCACCTGCGGCTCGCTCGGGTGTTCCTCCGCGCGCGGCTACAGCTCGCCTGTGTGCGTGTTCAAGCGTGTGTGTGTGTGTGTGTGTAAGTTAAGCTGCTGGACTCGGGCTGTATCGGATCTCAGATCAGTCCATTAGTTTAATGAGCAGCTCCTGCGTCAGGCTCATCTGGAATAACAGACCCGAGGAGGGCGCGCGCGCGCGCACACATTCACATCTACAGCGCGCGCTCATATCGGCCAGCTCAGCTCAGTTGATCTTATTGCAGAACTGCCAGTTAATGGAAGCTTACATCACAGAGACTGAAGAAATGCATATATTTCCACATTTATATGCGTCAGAAATGTATTGAAATATTTGATTTTGGCCTCTTTTATTTGACTTGTTTTGCTCCTGTTGCCTGTGTCAGATTTCATGTCATGTATAATATTTTACAGCATTAAATGACATGCATGAAGGTAAAAGTTGTAGTCAGCAGTTTTATGCATTTGTTAAATATTTAAAATACATGTAATGAAAGTTTGACATATTTGTGGATATATTGCTCCTCTGTTTGGGGAATGCTGATGTGTAGACTGTGATTGACGATGCTATAGTCAAGAGTTCATTACAGAACACCTCTGTGTTAATGACTGCAGTGTTGACTATGGTGAACTGACTAACTCTCATTAATACATACTGAAGGCGGCACGGTGGTGCAGCAGGTAGCACTGTCGCCTCACAGCAAGAAGGTCGCTGGTTTGAGTCTCGGCTGGGTCAGTTGGTGTTTCTGTGTGGAGTTTGCATGTTCTCCCTGTGTTGGCGTGGGTTTCCTCCGGGTGCTCCGGTTTCCCCCACAGTCCAAACACATGCGCTATAGGGGAACTGATCAACTACACTGGCCGTAGTGTATGAGGGTGTGTGAATGAGTGTGTATGGGGGTTTCCCAGCGCTGAGTTGGATAAAATATACATATGCTGGAATAGTTGGCGGTTCATTCCGCTGTGGCGATCCCTGAATAATAAAAGGACTAAGCCAAAGGAACATGAATGAATAACTCATACTGTGGTGTACTTTAGCTTGACTGTAGTAAACTGTGGTGTGTTGCAGTGTAATACACACTATAGCTGTAGACAACTGTTAATCGTTTACATTAGTATAGATGTCGTGTCGTGTACAATCCCTATGCAAATGAAGTGATTTTTGTAGTTTGGAGCAGTATTTAGTGAACTCATCTCTGTAAAATTGTACAGTTACTGGTCCCCTGTCAGTGTTAACTGGATTAATATAAGTAGATACTGAATATGAGTGTTTATAAAGCTGTCAACTGCTGAGTTACACTGAAAGACAGTCCATTTTTAAATCGTGACAGAAGTCGTCATATCCTGACAATTTAAGGGTGCTCAGTTGAGTTTCTGCAGGTTGTCAGAGTTTGAGACATGTTTAAGACGTGATGAGTGGAATTGTAGACTCATTAAGGGCTAAACGCTGAAGATTTTCTCAATGCTCCAGATGGAGAAGATTTTTATTTGCCCGATCAAAAGAATGAATATAATGAAACACATTTCCCCACACAATCATACAGTAATATTCAACTATTAAATAGTTTACATGTTTATAATACAGCTCTACCTCTCTCCACACTTTTCCCAACATAAACTTTCTTTAAAATAAAAGAACAAATGTTTAAGTTTATAATAAACTGAATGTATGCATGACAGTGTGTCCAGGTCGATGTGCACAGCAGTAAACAGACGGAGAAGGTTTAAACTAATGCTACTGTGAGGAAAATGATTCAACATTATGATGAATACAGTTAAACATGACCTTTTTAATCAAAAGTTTAAAGATGTATTGAGATGATTGCTGTGATTGTGTGGGGTTCGGTAGCAATACACGAACAGAGGAAAATGTAGACCTGTTTAAGAACAGATTTCAGACCTACAACACAATATTTCAGCACATTGAGGACTACTTTAGGCCTAAAATTAGAATTTTAAGATTTAAGACATTTACATTATTATTTTTTTAAGATTTATTTTTGGCCTTTTTGCCTTTATTATTATAGATAGGACAGTATCGAGACAGGAAGCAAAGTTGGAGAGAGAGGGAGGGGAAGGGGGTGTCCTCGAGCCGGGATTGGAGCTCGGGACACCCTGACGTGCCGCTGCACCATATGCCGGCGTGCTGACCACTAGCCTATTGCGCCGACTTTTAAGACAAGCGCCTGCAGACACCCTGAGCGAGCAGTTTTCCCCACACACTGTTGATCCGTCCGTCTGAAATCCAACTGCAGTGTATTTTGCCGGCACACATTATTCTGTAGGTCAACAATTCATCTGGACAAGTTATTCCCCTGTGAACACCAGCGCTTGTTCAGCTCATCTTCAGTCTGGGCGTCTGCTCGTCAGTTCAGATACTCTTACTGTGCGTTCACACCGAGAGCGGCAGACTCTGCCTACACAGCTCTGGCGGCGAGAGCGTCACTTCACTACACTGATCTGGCATCTACAGGAGCCGCTGCATCAGCAAATGAGTTGCGTTCCCTCATAAAAGCCAGATTTCCAGCGTGAAAATGTTGCGCATCTTATGGAATTGACTGAGATGTTGCGTGTGCTGGGGCTTTGCTCCACTTATCCAGCATGTGTCCATTCGTCTGCAGTACTCTGACACTGCACGAGTGTTTTGTCCTGTCTTCATGGTGCAGTGAGATTCCACAGCTATAGCATTAGTGCACAGCAGTCACTCGACAGTCCCTCGTCTAATGTCTGTCCCTGTAACATCGTAAATAACTGGAAATGCAGAGATCGCAATAGTCAAGCCCTTGGAAACATCTGTGGTCAGAAGCCACGTTCAGTGGACTGTGTTCTGGTAAAGTCTAGATGGGATACGCGGCCGGCCGGAGGTGGATATGCACATTAATACAGCAGCAGCAGAGTTGATGACACTGTATAATGAATATTTTACAGCGATGTGACGGCCGGGTTTAGGGCTGGGGTGAGAGTAAACGTTAAATATACAGTTAATTGGGTAATTTAATAGACAACATCAGTGATCCTCGGTACAGCTACTGTTTTTACGTTACTGTGACGGCCGGGTTTAGGGTTGGGTCAGGGGTAGACAACAATAAAATACATTAAATGTCAAATTTAATACATAATGGAAATAATTCTCGTTCACTTCCATCTGCAACCACATCCGATCTCACAACTACCAGGGGCTGCGTCCAAAACCATGTACTAACATACTATACAGTACGCTAAAGTCAGTGTGTGAGCCGAGTAGTGTGTCCGAATCCATAGAATTGGAAGATCAGAATGCGAGAAGTGCCCAGATGACTTACTATTTCCGGCGGGATTCTGGAGTGTGCATCCCATGCATGCTGCGCTATCCCATGATGCCCCGCGAGCGAATTCATGAATGGGAGTAAAGCAACGCAACTGACGGATGTAGTACGTCTGAATTCCACTCATACTGTATAGAGCGCACTCTCCTAACAGCCGAGTTGTACGTTTAAATTTAAATGCAGCACCTACTGAGTAGTAGGCGGTTTCGGACTCCTCTCAAGTCGGTGACTTCTGTGTTATGATTGGCTGCTGCTGAACCGCATCATAGCTCATTACCATAAAGTTGACTTGAGCTGCGTCCGAATCGGTCTACTCTGCCGGTACTTCATTTACATTTAAACGTACAACTCTGCCGTAAGAAAAGCTCATTCCATACTGTCTGAATGTGCCGGGGCGGACTTAACCAATAAGCGAGGAAAGGGAGCCAGGGGCCACAGACCAATATCTAGAAGCCTCTATTAATCACACAAATCTTTAGCACATTTTCTATCGTATGTTGTAAAATCTGCCTATAATCGTTACGATTTGAACGTCATTACTTCTTTTTCAAAAGCGAGGGCCCCCATGAATAATGGAACGTTCCCTCCGTAATGCGGTGTGAGCGCAGCGCTGCAGTGAATACACTGAGAGCTAGTGTTGTTCACTTCAGAGACTTTTCAGACGCTCCGTCACCAAACTTTCAAAAAGCGAACATTACGTGTAAATCTACTGCCTTTACCTGTACAATAGGCAGATAAGGGTTCCCTTCAATATTTAAACCTATAAAATATACTTCATATATATATATACACACACTTTTAACATTGTTTAATTTTCAAAAATGCTAGAGCCCCCAAATCACTAAGCCCACTAAGAGCTGTGAATGTGCGCAGTATGAACGGAACTCAGGTGTCATGGTCACATGACCTACCCGCGTCAGTTGTATTGCTTCACTCCCATTCATAAATTTTCTGGCGGGGCATTATGGGATAGCGTAGAGTCCATCTGATGCGCACTTCTGAATCTCGCTGGTAGTCGGTCGTCCGGGTACTTCTCACATAGCGATTTTCATATTCTATGAATTCAGACACATTATGCTGACGGTTTTTAGTGTACTATATAGTATGGAAGTGTGCGATTACGGATGTAGCCTTGAGTTCAACGCTCTTCGACGCCCACACACTGGCACAGACACGCTGCTGGCTCACATTGATACTGAATGACTTCCAGCTACTTTGACGCTCTCGCCACCATAGGTGCGAACGCACATTTAGCCACGCCCCTTTTAGAAATACTTTGCTGTGGTAATGAGCAAAACGCAAGCCCCGCCCCCTACTCAATATTCAGCTTCAACAGGAAGCAGATCAACACACTGAAATAAACCCCCGCAGTCTTCAAGACACCAAAGCACTCAGCAAGCCCCGCCTCCTTTCAATATCACCGCCCTCATTACTAGACACGCCCCTCATTGCTGATTGGCTGAAGTGTGTGTTGAGAATGTGAGGATGCACAAGTGTCAGAAACACAGCACACATGAGCAGCAGCAGGCGTGCGGTTAACATCAGCCATGCTTTATTCACTCACTCCATCGCTCATCGAGAGCGCAATATTTACAAAAATAATAATGTCAGGCACTCTGGGCTGCGTCAGGTACAATTACAGACTCATCATCATCATCATCATCATCATCATCATCATTTACACAACTGAAGAGAGGGAGGCAGACAGACGGACGTCCTCCGAGGGCTTCACACCCTCATTAAATAAGAAAAAGAAAACTTCATGAGAAAGCAAAGGTGTGGAGCTGTCGTCCTCCACCTGACGGAGGTGTGTGTGTGTGTGTGCTGGGGTCAGAGGTCTCACACACACACTCTGCTGCGGTCAGTAAAAGCAGACGCTGTGCAGGAACGGCCGATGGCTCTTCTCCTCGAACTCCTGCAGCAGCTCGTCCATCTCGTTCTCCATATCGTCTGTGTGCTGAATCTGACACACACACACACACACACACACACACACACACACACACATCAACACATTATTCTGCACTGATAACTCAAGACTACACAAAAACATCAAACCTGCAGACAACACTGTGTGTGTGTGTGTGTGTGTGAGAGAGGGAATAAGAGTGTGTGTGTTTGAGAGAGAGAGTGTGTGTGTGTGTGTGTGTGTGTGTGTGTGTGTGTGTGTGCATGAAAATGGTGTGTGTGTGTAAGATATGTCTGAGTGTATGTTGTGTGTGTGTTTGACTGTGTATGGTGTGTGTGCGCATGTGAATGGTGTCTGTGTGCGTGGAAGGTGTGTCTGAGTGCATGTGAATGTTGTGTGTGTATGATGTATGTGTAAGATGTGTCTGATGTGTTTGTGTGTGTTTGGTGTGTGTGTGTGTATGGTGTTTATGAATGGTTGTCTGAGAGTTTAAGTCTGAGCGTATGGTTGGTGTTTGTGTGTGTGGGGTATGTCTGAATATTTGTGTATGGTATAAGTGTGTGTATGTGAATGCTTGTGTGTATCTGTGTGTGTGTGTGTGTGTGTTGTGCTGCAGTACTCACACACTGGCAGAGTTCACAGATGAGGAAAGCTCCGAGCGTCGCCTCTTCATGATTATCCTGAATGTCCACATTGATGACATGAACCGGCTGGAACGACTCCTGCTCACGAGAGTTCAGGTCTGACACACACACACACACACACACACACACACACACACACAGTATATTTATTTGTTGTGTATGATGTATGTGTGTGCACATGTTTTTGTGTCCCTGTGGGGACGTGTGTGTGTGTGTGTGTGTGTCCGCTCACCCTCCAGCACCTGGTCGTAGACTCGCTCCTCACAGGTGATCACCAGGTCAAACTGGTCTCTGCAGCTCTGGAAGCGTTCTGGACGAGACTTGATGCGCTTGTTGCGGTCCAGCATGTGCAGGATGCCGTTCTGTGTGTATCTGAGCAGCACGCGGTCAAGGAAAACACACACACACACACACACAGCAGAACGTCCGCTTGACTCATTCAGGCTAATGATCTGTGTTTCTGCACTAGTGTACACTGACAGCAGCAGATCTCTCACGTATGAGCTACTGAACAGTGATATACGGCATTTATTAGAGCTCATAAAGGTGTGAAATCATGCAAATCTGCACACCACAAACACATTTCAAACGTCTGAATAAAGAAGGCTTGTGGAGTGAGAGAAATGAAACCCTGAATAAACACCTCAGTCAGATAAACCAACAAACCAGACTGATGACAGCAGGAGAGAGCAGCGCAGGCCGTCTTCATCATCAGTCCTTCAACAACACACTATACACCAGCTTCTCCTTCCCCAGCCTGTCTGTCTGTCTAGTGTTCAAGTGCAGATACCGGTCCGCTCTTAAAGGGACAGGACACAATAATAACAATAATTCAGGTCATAATAAGGTCATTTCTCCTCCTGTTCCAAACCTGCGGGTCTCTCTCTCCTGCTGAACACTGAAGATATTCTGAAGGAAACTAAACTCTACTGTTCAGAAATCAATTCAGCATTCTTCTAAATATCTGCTATTGTGTTCATCAGCTGTAATATCAGTGCTGGAGATATGAAGACGTCTGATTAAGATTTAAATTATTCAAATAAACAGAGTTTATGCAAAACACACGTCTGCTAACCGGCTGAGAACCGTCCTGTGTTAAGCTGATTTCGGGAACGGGTTTGTTCTCGCTTTAAGCATCAACATTTTGCAGAAAATCGAGAATTTAAAGAGATCCAAGAGTCTTAAAGGGACAGTTCACCCCAATAAACATGCACTCATCATTTACTCTCCTACATGCTGCTCCTAACCTTCACGGGTTTCTCCTGTTGAACACAATAGGAGGTCAATGGTTACAGGTTTTCAGCATTCTACAAAATATCTTCTTTAGTGTTCCACTAGTCTGAAACTGTCCCTGAATGAGCGTGTGACTCATTACTATGGTATAAACGCCGAGCGACACTATTAAACCACACCTGACGTCTCGAGATCAGCACACCCGAGACTCATCTGCACTCTCTCCAGCACTGGCTGAGCACGAGCGCTACTGCAGGAGTAACACAGAGTTCTGATGTGGGAAACTCACCGCATGTGTTTGTAGTGTAAATATTACCGACGGCTGCTTTTCAGAAATGCTGCATGAAGCTTGGAAACCTTGATGAACATTTCGCTTTGAATTAGTGGAGTCTAAAAGCCACACAGAATCTGTTTGGTTATTCATGCAGAGAAGTTCAATTAATAATAATAATATGTAATGAATTAAAGAAAGCTGCAGAACTATATGGAGTGTTTTTGGGAGTTTAGGACCAGTAACCCTTTATTAAAACGACATCTTAAAGGAATAGTTCAGGCAAACATTTTAATTCTCATTATTTACTGTCCATCATGCGGTTTTAAACCAGTCCTGGAGGGCCGCTGACCTGCATATTTTACTTCCGACCCCAATTAAACACACCTGAAGCAGCTCATCAAGCTCTCTGCATATACTAAAGCTCCGGGAAGGTGTGTTGAAGGAAGCTGGAGTTAAACTATGCAGGACACCGGCCCTTCAGGACCGAGTTTGGACACCCGAAACCTTTCTTTATTCTGTTGAACACAAAAGAAGATATTGTGAAGAATGCTGAAACCTGTAACCATTGACTTTAATTGTAGGAAAAGCAAACACAATGGAAGTCAATGGTTACCGGTTTTCTACAAAGACAAGCGGAAGTCTGAAATGACAATTTTGGCTGAATTGTCCCTTTAACTTAATTTTATTAAGACGTAGGAGTGCGAATTTAAACACGTGTTTGGTAAATAAAGCTACAATATTTAACTACTAAAAGACTAGTAAATAGTACTTTAGAAACTGAACCATACACTAAACATCGAAACGTTTGCACATTACTCAATAATAAAACTGAAATACCCATTAAAAGGCTGAATACATGTACATGCAGACACATTTGTAAATTATTCATTAATATAGCCAGAAAAATGCATACACACTGTAAAAACAATCCAGAATTCTAGGGTTTATTTCCAGCAGATGGAAATAATAATAATAACGGGTTAGGGTTTAACGGCTGTTAAATTACAGAAATTAAATTACAGAAATTTAATGTAAAACAACAGATATTAAATTTAAATTAATTTTCGTTTAATTTAATTTCCGTCATTTTACACTATATTTCTGTAATTTTTTTTTTTACGGCACTGCCGGGAATAAACTGTAAAATTACAGATTTGTTTTACAGTGTGTGTGTGTGTGTGTGTGTATAATGAACACACAACCTGAACTGACCCTGAACACATTATTAGAGCTTTTTTGTGCATGAAAGTGTTCCTGTAGCTTCCTAACATTACGACTGATCCTGCTGTCTGTAGAGGATCAGAAAGCTCTCATATCTTCATTCGTGTTTGAAGATGAACGGGTTTGGAGCGAGTAATTAATAACGAAGGTTCATTTTTGTGTGAACTGCCCCTTTAAGGTGACCGTTTCCAGGTCCTCGCCTCAACTCATCTCAATAGAGAGAAATGTGCATGTATGACCCGTTCTGCCATCATCAGCACCGCTAAAGACGATCTTATCCTAAAACATGGTGTACATACAGTCTCTGGACCGCCTTAAAGGGGCAGCTCAGCCAAACATGGTCATTTACTCAGTTTTACTTCTTCTGTTAAACACAAAGCGAGATATTCTGAAGAATGCTGGACAAAAACAGACACGGACATCTGCAGTAAGACAAAAAACCCAACAGAATTACCCAGAATATCTTCATTTGTGTTCAACAGAAGAAATCGACTTAAAAGGGTTTGTTTTCAGCATTTACATCCTTTACAAACGGCCCCTTTAAATACATTAGTTATACTTGTTATCTTATCTGAACTTCAGATATTAGATATGAATCACAAGGATCTCTGCTAGCGTTACAGCTCACTGTGAGGGTAAATCAGTGCCATTATTTAAGCCTGTTTATAGTCGGATAGAGCACTTAGGGCAGATACTGCGGTGCGTGACGGCAGAATAAGCAAGAAAACTACTAAACTAGTTCACTCTAGTCTGGAAAAACCCAACACGAGAGACGCATTGCTAATAAATAACGCTATTGTGTCTCGATTTAACACTTTAGATTAGTGACGGCTGCTTCTGAAACACTGCTTCATGAAGCTGCGGAACCTTCGTCATTAAACTGCGTCCTGAATGTTCAGTTTTGAATCAGTGGTTCAGATCTCATGCGATTTCAGTAAACAAGGCTGTCAGAACGGTTTCCAAAAGTAATTTCTCCACTAGGGGGTGATCTGTGCGATACCATACAATGCACATCACTCACGCATGTTCACTCAGATCGCCCTCTAGTGGAGAATCACTGAACGGGTTTCAGTTATAACTGACCACAGATCAGCTTCACTAGTTTATGCTCATTTTAAGTGAGGAATTACCTAAATTAAAAGGAGTAATAGCTAATAGTCTCTTGTTGGCCTGAGATATACTATGTATTACAGTGGTCTCTCGCTTTTCGCAGCTTTGTGGATTTTCTTTGTGTAGTTTGACATGCTGTTTTCTACAGCGCACTGTGTTCTGCATTCTGATTGGCAGTATACCATTGTCGATCAATCTCCGTGCCGTATCACAGAATGCGCTCAGCTTGTCAAATCTGCATAAATCTTGTATCGCTAGCAGTGTGGCTCTGAAGTGCTGGACTGTGTTTGCAAGTTCTCCCGACACAATGACGACAAAACCTTCTGCACTGTCAAAGAAGCCTGCGGTAGCTTTTTTTCCCCCCACAAAGTTTGGCATTTGTGATGCAGCAAGTCTAGAGACTGTCGTGTACACTTTGATTTTATATTAAATTTACTTTAACGTGAGATACGACTAAAAAGGGGTCATAACCTTCTAGGGCCCAAGTGTCCACATATGTGGACGGCACATTTTAGCTCTTTAGTGGCTGTTTAAAACACTTTGAATGTTTTATATTTGGTTACAGATGGGAAAAAAAATTTTGTTTTTACTCTCTGATAATTAAAACAAATAATAATAAAAAAAAAGTTAAATTTGCATAAATTTTTTTTTGGATAATTTAAAAAAAAATGTTTTATGTAAATAGGGACCACGAGTCCACACATATAGCCATCATTTCCTTTAAAAGTATATCATATCAAAAAAATATACTTAGATCTTTATTCTAATTAGGTTACAATAAGCTCAAAGAGCAAAAAGAAATTAAAAATGCATGTAAAAAACACCTCGGGCCTGAAGAGGTTAAACAAATATTTTCTCATTTCAAATGAGCAGCGGCGCGACCCAGAAACAAGACCATACGTCACCAATGTCAGGACTTAACTTACTTTTCTACGAAGGTTTGAGCTTTGCGAGTGTTTAAACGAGAGAGTAAAGTGTAAAAATGTTAATGCCTGTCTGAGAAAAGTGTGTAGTTACAGCCTTAAGACATCTATAATAACTGTACAGAAACAAAGCGGACTACTTGGCAGGTTTCACCTATTGCGGGGTATTCTTAGAACGTAACTCTCGTGAATAACGAGGGACTACTGTATATCATCTTTAAATCAAATTACATAATAAATGCCGCTTACGTGAGGCGGCTGCAATGCAGCGTCTATGAGGGCGGGACTGTAAATTCAACGCTGATTTCTCTTTCATCTGATGTTTATCAGACTGTTTCTTACTCATTTGTCAGCATATGGGAATACTAAAGTATCTGAGGTTCATCAAATATTGCTTCTGAAAAATTCAAACATGTGAACAGGCTCCATGTGCTTGAAGGTTAGTGCTGCATGCTTTGCCTAATTCTGCTCGCATTGACAGCTTCGCCCAGCAGGCGGCGCCAGCATGTGCTGTTCCAGGCGTACTGAAACAGTGACTCGGTCTACACAGAGATTAACTCAAAGCTTTTAAAAGCGTAATTTCTCCCTGCACTACTTGCGATCAGGGTGCCAATTACAGGGCGGTTTGGGGGAGATTGACCCTGCTGATCCACCCTGATGGACATCACAAGATGTTTGAGGGAGTCAGCCCTTTAACACTGAGCTTTTTCTGAGCTGATTCTTAAATAATAGTGTTAATAACGAAATAATATGAATATAGATTTGACCACCCCTATAATGGCATGATGAATAATCGTGCTTATTAGTCTCAGCAGGAATCATCCAGCAGTGTGAACCTGACAGATCTGGAGCAGCGATGGACACTTTTCTTGTAAGACCGGTGTTTGTATGAACATGCAGCCTTAAATTAAATTAGACGCACAGCTTGAATAGTTACAAGTTAGCGGATGTCAAAATACATCAAATATCCCTCAAAACACTGAAAACGTAAATACGTCTTATTAATAAATTTGATGTCATTTAAATAGACTTGATTCACTGAAAACTTAATAAAACGTGGACCCCCCTGATCGCCAGTGTATAGTTCACACGCTGCTTGTGATCAGATCACTGACAGCACGTCTTCATACTAGCTGGAATAATTCACTGTAAATAAATCAAATTTAAACGCGTAATAAATTAAGTCTGCCTATGTGCCATCAGTAATCTACTAAACATCGTGTTGTTCTGTATTCTGAGGAATATTAAGCTAATATTAAGAACTACATGAGGACGTGAACTCATCTGATGAACTATTCCTGTGACCCAAACTATTGAAGTCATGCATTATGTGTCTTATTTAGCACGCGGTGTGTGTTCATTCAGGACCCTCGCTAATAATCAGGGGTTTGCTCTGCTGCGGGCGTCTCTGAATCGGGTGTGTTTCAGTGTGTGCGCTCGGGATACAGTTCCTTGTCTTTACGGACCAAGTCGTTGTACATCTGCTCATAAGTGGTTTTGAAGTCGTAAATGTTGGGTTTGTCCGGTGCGGGTCCAGGGAGTTTCACATGTGTCCCTGTGCCGAAGGAGCGCACGTCGAACCCTCGCTTGCTGTAGAAATAAGAGAGACAGTGAGCAGATCAGATCATTAACACACCTGAAACACCCTGTCTAAACCTGCGCAGACTCTCCTGACCTACTTAAACCCACCAGACTCACCTGAGGACGCTAGTTAATCTGGCTAACAAAGAGTGCTCTCTCTCTGGAAATCTGTACTACATTAGTATGGTGATGAAAGCTAGCGTTAATAACATCATTGAACCATTAAAACGAGTATATTTCACTGGTTTCCAGCGTGTTTTGGGACACATTCCACTGTGATTTATTCACTTTAACTGGCCACCATCAGAAGGCAAATAAATGACCAGATGAAACCCAAAGATCTGTGTGTTAAAAGCTCTCTGATGTCCGTGATGATCATTAGAGAACGCTTTGTGGTGGTTCCTATCGCTGTTCAGCGTGGAGAGCTGTGGTTTTACCTCCTAAGTGAGCCAAACTTTCATATTTATATCAAAATAACGCTAAAGGCTCTTTATCCTGGCTACGGTTCCCTCAGGATCTTCTCTTGACTCAATTCTACGCGTTATTTTAGCCAGTAAATGTGCAAATCTTCGTCCTCTTCCGTGTTCGGGACGCGTTTGTTTTCTCTAAGTTAACGTTAAATCGGCGCGAATGTGAAATCTGTTCTTCTCTAAATGAACCTCAGCTGTTTCTCGGTATCTGAACACCTCGGTTTGCCGAAAACACCGAGCTGACGGGAATACACCGGTGAGCGGATGGACGGGTCTCGCCGGGGGTTTTCGGTGATTTGCTTCTCGTCGTTACCTCAGGATGTTGTGCGCTTCCATGCTGCGGTTCTGGTTGCTGGAGCACACGACCGCGACACGCAGCGGATGAGGCGGCATCGCTATCTAAACCCGGACAGAAATGAGCAGCTCTGCGGGAAACGCTTCGACGCGAGAGCTCGGTTCGACAGATCTACCGGATCCGCGGACAGGAAGAAAATGGCGGAGACGCTGCGCAGCTGTCAGCGAGGCGTCACAATAGGGGGAGGAGCAGTGGGCGGGGCTTCCGCTGAGGCATCAAAACACAACGCGTCCATCATGGCGCACGCAGGACAGCATTCTCTGGTGCTTTAGTGGTTATCAGGGCTGGACGGGCAAAAAATCGGTCCTGGAATTTTGGGCCAGAGCGGCCCACTAAATTCAATCAAAATAAATAAATACAGACTTTAATCTCAATTTAATTTCTGTATACTGTCTATAAAGATATTTGTTGAGTTCTAAAAAATATACTATTCATTCATTTATTTTTCTTCGCATAAGTGCCTTATTTATCAGGGGTTGCCGCAGTGGAATGAACTGCCAACTATTCCAGCATGTTTTATGCAGCAGATGCCTTTCCAGCCACAACCCAATATTGGAAATCACCCACACACACTCATTCACACACACTCATACACTACAGCCGATTTAGCTTATTCAATACACTTTTCACTCAGGCTATATTCAATAATAAACATAACACAAACTGCCTGCTGATGCATGGGTAAATCTTCATAGGGAACAGTGTACTTTATAACCTCATTCACCTCATCCTGCTCGCTGTTTCACTATCTTAACAATGAAAACATAATATAAGCTGCATATTTATATGAGCATCATCTTCACTCTGCATATTTATAACAAAACAGGCTTAAATTTAACTGCCTTCTTTCATTTCCATTTAAAAGAATGAACTTTACCCCGTCTCTTTTGCAGAATATCAGTTTTAATAACCAATAATGGCCATTATAACAGTATAACGTGCATTAAATTTAAACGATAAAGGTAAGCAATCAGTCAGTGTGCAGAATCAGTGTGTTACATAAATTAATATATTAGCTTATCTTTGCACTCAAATGCCAAAACAGTTAACTGAGAACAAGTGATTCAAAAGAGTTGTTAGATAGAGACAAGAAGATGAATTCAATATCACGTTTAACAACTATAGTGAGATCAGATCATCCAGCAGATGAACTGTCTGACATGCACTATGCTCTCACCTGGGGTTTATGCTCACCCGCTGAACTACTGGCTCTTGGCAGAGAGTGTGTGTGTGTGTGGTCACATGATTTGCACTTTTAGCCGTGTACTAAAAGGAATGGGAACTTTTCAGAATCGCTAAATGAAACGCCGGTGTATTTCCCGCGATTTCTCTGCGCCTCCCTTGCGTTTTTTCTCTCTGACTCTCGACTATTTTGACAAATACACACAGACGACGCACGCTCACACGGAGTCCAAAATAGGAGTTTGTGATTGGGCCAGCCCAATGTCAATACCGAAAAGAGAAAATGGGCTGCAGAGTGTCACATGGGCCGGCCCGGTCTGTCTGTCCGGGAAAAAAAGCATCTACTTTCAGATAGTCACAGATCACAGGAGCGTCAATTAATAAGGCAGAAAAAAACGATAGGCTGCAAAGCCTTTTATGGGCCGATCAGATCATAAGACGATGATCAGCCCGGCCCAAAAAGTATGTCGGCCCACTGGGAAAGTGCCCGGTTTGCCAGATGGCCAGTCCACCCCTGGTGGTTATGATGGAAATCCTGTGGGTTTTAATGGAAATTGTATTTTTTTCTATAAAGGGATAATTCACCCAAACATGAACATTTACTTATTATACTCACCCTCAAGCAGTTCCAAGAGTTTCTTTCTTCTGTTGAACACAAAAGAAGATATTTTAAAGATGAAAACCTGCAACCACTAACTTTCATGATAAAATATAAACATACAAATATAAAAACAGATAAGGTGAATCTTTCAGCATTGTCAAAATAACTTCTTTTGTGTTCAACAGAAGAGAGTAAAACAGGCAGAACACGTGAAGGATGGGTCAACGATGACAGGACTTTCATTTCTGGGTAAATATCCCTTTTCCAGTGGGAATATGCAGCCTGCCTGCACACTAGGAATATAAAAGGCACAGTTCACCCAAAAAACGAAAATTCTGTCCTTTATTCATATTCTTTTGGCTTAGTCTTTTTATTAATCTTGAATCGCCACTCTTACATCGAATTCCTCGCTGCTGTCCCAGCAGGTAATGTGTTTAGACGCAGGACACCTGCCTGAATTTCGATCCATTTTTATTCTTGCTTCCAAAACAAACAACTCACAATAATTTCTCAATGTCCTCCAATCGAGCGTTTGTGTGTCTCTGGCATGCTTCTTGCTGATTAGGTTCAGCTGTTATTGACTTTCCTACAGTGCAGTGGCCAGTATGCCCCATAGGTGGCAGCACAACAGCTGGCAAAAAGCAGGCCTAAAACAATACAAAATAAAATCAATTAAATGCATTACTATCTTTCTAATTCAGGGCTCCGACAGCCACAGTTGAATGAACCGCCAACTTATCCAGTACAATTTTTACACAGTTTCAGCTGCAACCCATCTCTGGGAAACATCCATACACACTCATACACTATGGCCAGTTTAGTTGATCAGTTCCCCTATAGCGCATGTGTTTGGACTGTGGGGGAAACCGGAGCACCCGGAGGAAACTCACACCAACACAGGGAGAACATGCAAACTCCACACAGAAACACACACTGACCCATTTGAGGCTTGAACCAGCAACCTTCTTGCTGTGAGGCGACAGCACTACCTACTGCACCACCGCGTCGCCATTCTGTCCTCTAATGATGCTTTAATTGTTACTTCTTAGGTGAATTCAAACAAGATGAAGGAAGGAAGGAAGGAAGCTGGAAACGACTGACGTCCACAGTATTTGTTTTTCCTGCTATAAAAGTCAATGGTTGCAGATTTTCAGCTTTTTTCTAAATGTCTTCTTTTGTGAGAGAAACTCATGAAGGTTTTGCACCACTTGACGGAGAGTAAAAAGTGAGTGCATTGGGAACTGGCCAAAGTGTGATGATTTTTAATGATATTTGTAGTGGAGATCCTTCTAATCTATTGCTAATGTCTCTGTTCATATTCAGCATCTATATTTAACATTACTAAAACAAATAACAAGGTGACGCAGTGGGACAGTAGGGTTAACTGTCGCCTCACAGCAGGAAGGTTGCTGGTTCAAGACTCAGCTGGGTCAGTGTGTGTTTAGTGTGGAGTTTGCATGTTCTCCTAGTGTTGGCGTGGGTTTCCTCCGAGTGCTCCGGTTTCCCCCACAGTCCAAACACATGCGCTATAGGGGAACTGATCAACTAAATTGATCATAGATGGGTGGTTCCCAGTGCGGCTTGTAAAATATATGCTACAATAGTTGGCGGTTCATTCCGCTGTGGCGACCCCTGATGAATAAAGGGACTAAGCTAAAAAGAAAATGAATGAATGAATGGAAACAAATAACGAAGCAAACCTGATTGTTTAAATTCCACCTCCTTTATTGAGAGAAAGGTTTGTCACAGAGAAAGCACAGTATTCAAATGACTGCTCAGCCAGTCCGTGGGTCCTTATTTTGGTGAGGAGTACTAACTCATGATTAGAAGAGTTGTGTAAAGATAAGGCATACTGCAAATTATTGGGTTTGACACTCAAAAGTATAAAACGACACGCACACCCTAACATAAATAAAGCAGCTCCGCCTCACTGCTCAACATTATCATGAGCGAGCACAGACAGGGTCGTCATTACGCCCTGATCCATTGCTTTTCTAAGACAAATGTAGAACTACCAGTGTGAATATCAGTGAGTGCACAGTTTATTCTGGTAAAGTGGAGTGATGAAATGCAGATGCACATTAACACAGGTAAACTGCTGTATAGAGCAAAGTGTATTGCTGTGTTCAGATTAAATACTGTCACCCACAATGCATTGATGCTCTGTGCCGAGTGAGCAGTGTTGTGTATCTCAGGAGCAGGATTCAGCCCTTTGCTTCTGATCCTGAGCTGTGTGAATGCGTGTGTGTGATGTCAGAGATCACAGGTGTGTGTGCAGGTGTGATCTATGCGTGTGCGCAGTCGGGTTCATGATGTTTTCAGTAATGTACGCCACCAGCAGACAGATGATGACCAGCATCACACAGATGGCCCCGCCCACGGTCGTCATGGCGATCACGATGTCCTGCATCCCGCCGGGGGCCAGGCTGAACTCCACGCAGGCCTGGGCCCGGTCTGTGGCGTAGGGCCGCATGCAGAGGCGGTAGGGCACGTTAGTGTGCAGCTCATTGAGTAAATAATCCCTGCAGCTGCTGCCGAAGTGAACCCCGCCGCATTCGAACTGTGTGTAGCTGCCGTTCCACCAGCAGCTGAGCCTGAAGCCGCCCGGCTGCCCCGGCGGGGCCACAGAGTCACTGAGGGCCCACTGGATGAACACGCTTCCATTGGTCAGTATGTTTGCCGTGAGCTGCCCGTCCCCTGAGCTCACCTGTTGGCAGGACCCGCTGGCACACCTGAAGTCAGGCCGGGCGTATCGGAAGCAGAGCCGCCCGGGATCACCGGGGCCTAGACTGCGGTAGGCGCACAGGGGCCCGCTGTCCCCCAGAACCCGCAAGCGGCCCTCAGCACTGCTGTTGTGCTGGAGCTCAAGAGGGAATCTCAGAGGCTCTTTATTACTGTCCGTGGCCTCATTATGCACATCGCTGGTCCGGTTCGGTAGAGCAGAACCTCCAGTGTTCAGAAACAGGAGGATAGCGCAGCTTCCCAGAAGAACCGAGTCCTGTCGGCGTGTCATTTCTGATTTATCCGGTTATCTGCTCACAATTCACGGCGGAGAACCAGAGAGCGCGCGGCCGCCATCACACCGGTGCGCGTGCGCGACGACCTGCGAAAAAGCCCAGAATGAACAAACCGATGCTAAAACACGGCGTCAAACAACACAACACAGGCGAATACCACTGCTGAAACACTCCCAACGTGAAGAGTGCTGTCGTGCGCGAGGATCTGCGCAAACAAAGATGAATATATCAAGAAAAATTACCTCAGAGAAGGAGAAGAGCTTCCGCTGCAGCCGCCGATCAAGAGCGCGCATCTGTCTGAGTGCGGGAGCGCGCGCGTGTGTCCGCAATCACTGTTAATTCACTCACTCACTCACTCACTCTCCTTAAATCTGTCTGCAAAACACTTTTTAATATAGCAAATACGGTCGAAAATCATAACTCTGATGAAGGTGGTTTAGAGCAGATTAACCCGTTTAATCTGATTGAGTGTTCCCGACACTAAACATGCAGTTTTACTGTGTTTTTGGACAAGTATGTGCTCAATCAAGAGTAGCAAATGTACAAACTTTGGGTTTATTCTTGTGTGTGTCGTCCTGAATACGAGAACTGGAAATAAACAGATTAAGGAGTGACAATGGAGGCTTCTCCGCTATAGAATGAAGCAGTTTTTATCTTGCATATAAAAAGTGAGCAGGAAATATAACCTGTGCTAAATAAGCTCAACACAAAAACTGACAAATATAGGCAAGATTTTATCAAATCAGCTCAAGTGTAAACAAGCGACCATAGTGATAGATGCTTTACATAAACATGAGTTTGTGTTTCTGTATGGGAGAACAGCCAAACACCGCTGTTTATATGCATGTGTGCGCATGGCGCCATCTAGTGTTCATCACCAGCAACCCCATCAGGACACTCTGAAACAAACAAGATGATGAATTATTTTTCAGACAGAAATATCAGAGTGTATTTATCAGCAGTTTATATGAGGACATTAACAAGGGCAGGCACAAACCCACCGTCAGAGTGACGCAGGACACATGCGGTATTAGGAGAAACACACACACACACACACACACACACACACACACACACACAGGAGGCCTGAGTCAGCCAGTCCACTAATGATGAGGACATGCAGAATCACACACTGATTAATAAGACCCCGGAGATCTTCATCAGCACTGCGGTTATTACTAAAGTTCTGTTTAAACAAACTTCCCCACATGAGTCCGTTCAGTTAATGTTGGCGTCATGAACACACACTGCAGTATAGTGTAGTGCACTGTACATATTACAGTATCTGCTGTTTACTGGAGTGTACCAATACACCCTAAAACTACAGTATTGCGACATTTGTTTATACTACTGTAGTTGTTGTGTTACCATAGCAACTGTAGAATCACCACAATAGTTGTTGTTACCATAGCAACTGTAGAATCGCCAAAACAGATCAATTACTATAGTTGTGTTACCATAGCAACTGTGGAATCGATAAAACAGATCAACTACTGTTGTATTACCATAGCAACTGTGGAATCACCACGACAGATCAATTACTATAGTTGTTGTTACCATAGCAACTGTAGAATCACCACAATAGTTGTTGTTACCATAGCAACTGTGGAATCGCCAAAACAGATCAACCACTGTTGTATTACCATAGCAACTGTGGAATCACCACAACAGATCAATTACTACAGTTGTTGTGTTACCATAGCAACTGTAGAATCATAACACATTAATTCAAGTGCTTGACTATTATAAATTACTCCAGTATTTTTAACATTTATAGTCTGTATATTCTCTGAACCTTCGGAAACCTAATAGTTGCTTTTTCAAGATCCAACTAAAATGTTTGTTTTAATTATTTAAATAATACATGAATAATGTTTAGTGAACTAGATAATGTTGAAGAAGCGCTCTGTTAGCATTATGCTCCCTGTTAGCAAAACACGCCACTGAACATGTACAAGTTTTTATCAATAAATAACAAACTCTTATAAAACATCATGTAAAGACTGATGTAGGAACAGTCCCATAGCTGATCAGATGTTTGCCGTCGCTCAGGCGTTCAGTAATTGATCACAGGCCTGAAATCTGCTGTTGAGTGAGTTTTGTGTGTGTGTGTGTGTGTGTGTGTGTGCGTGTGTATATATGTAGATGTACTACTGTTGATATCTCAGTGGACAGGATGGCCAGCGCTGGCTCTGGGACTCTGGAGCATCTTCAGCATGTCTGAGGTCCTGACGGTGGACGCGGTTCTCTTCGGCCTGCTGGTGTTCTCTGGTATCATTGGAAACATCATGGTCATCTATGTGGTGAGAAACACACACACACACACACACACACACACACAAACACACACACACACACACACACACACACACATGAATGAAGATAAACATATGTGTTCCTGATTCAGGAGAGGGATTTCTGGTCTCTCACAGGTCTTTTAAATCAGTCTCCTTCTAGCTACACTTATGTGAAATCTACTTTGGATACCATTAAAGTAGTTTGACCAATTGTATGACCAAAAATAATAAATATTATGTATCCGGCTGGGTCAGCTGGTGTTTCTTTGTGGAGTTTGAGTAACCCTCCGGTCCTTCGCCTTGAGCTGGGATCAAACCGGCAACCTTCCGCATGGGAGTCAGAAGCTCTAACGAGGAGGCTAAAGACCATGACCTCTAGTGTCTTCCACCTTTACAAGTCAGAGGAGTGAGGTTTACCTGCACAGCACTTCACTAGCTGGCCTCTGTTTGCATGTTCTCCCCGTGTTGGTGTGGGTTTCCTCCGGGTGCTCCAGTTTCCCCCACAGTCCAAACACATGCGCTATAGGGGAACTGATCAACTACTGGCCGTAGTGTATGAGTGTGTGTGTAAATGAGTGTGTATGGGTGTTTCCCAGTACTGAGTTGCGGTTGGTAGGGCATCCGCTGTGTAAAACATGTGCTATATAAGTTATCAGTTCATTCTGCTGTGGAAAAACACATTTATAATCCTTTAAAGCGATGTTAAAATGACTTTAAAAAGTTTAATTTTTAGTATTTACTGTATTTTAAATGCTTTGAATTTGTATAATGACAAAACAATTCTGAATCTATCATTCCTGAAAACAACTGAGAAAAAGATAATTATGTTTTCATGCTACTTTCACTGAAGTTAATCAGGTTTTTACATTTACATTTACATTTACATTTAGTCATAGCAGACGCTTTTATCCAAAGCGACTTACAAATGAGGACAAGAAAGCAACTTACACAACTATAAGAGCAACAATGAATAAGTGCTGTAGGCGAGTTTCAGGTCTGTAAAGTCTAAGAAGGAAAGTATTAGTAGTATTAGTAATTATTATTATTATTATTATTATTTTTGTACAGTTAGTGTGATATTCAAAGAGGCAATTGCAGATTAGGAAGTGAAGTGGAGACTAAATAGTTGAGTTTTTAGTCGTTTCTTGAAAGTAGCGAGAAACGACTTTTTAAGTGATGCAAATTTTAACAAATTGATTGATGTAAGTTATAAGTCTGCGCTAAGCACACGCTGCTGTGATGTTTATTTCAGTGTGCTGATGTACTGACAGCTGGAACAGAATATTGAGTGGGGGCGGGGCTTTCTGTTGTGCGTCATTCCCTCATAGGAGGCCAGCTAGTGTGTGCTGTGCAGGTAAACCTCACTCCCCTGACCTCTAAAGGTGCTCTAGCGACAGCTGCCGGGGGTCATGGTCTTTAGCCTCCTTGTTAGAGCAACTAACTCCCATGCGGAGGTCGCCGGCTTGATCCCAGCACGGATCGGGTTGTGTGGTGTAGGACCGGCGGGGTTACACTTGCAATAAGGGGCGGGATTAAACAAAATGATTAGACATTTAAAAAAGCGAGCGATTGCTCCATATTTTACATTTCTGTCCAGAGAGGTCATGTTTTGATCCTCCATTGGTCTCACACAGTCGTAGTGAACTGTGATGCACAAACTTGCGTGTCCGGTCTGAGGCATGTTTGTACGCATGGATGGAAGTCTATGAGGAGAAAAGTCCAGTGTGACCGCAGCTAAACAATAAGAGGGGTGTGGCTAACGAATAAGGGTCCATTTCAAACGGTATATATCGCCCTCCAAAGGGCACTTGCTGCCAAAACTGGCCACTTCTAACGACCCTTTGGAATGAAGAATTTTGACAAACACAGCTGATGGACACACTGGGACATCCTCGAGCAGGGAAGCTGATTGATGTGGGGTTGGAGCGAGCCTGTTAGAGCGTTAGTCAGTGTTGAGTCCTGTTGTTTTGTGTTTACCTTATGATTAAAGTCTCTCACTCTGAATGAAGGTGCGCTAGCAAAATCTTGATTTCACACAGACTTAATGTGACGTAAAAGTCGATTCAGCGTGTCAGATTGACAGAGTCCATGCAGTGAGACGTGTGTGTATTTCATCTGTTTCAGGTGTTTGACTGTGCTAAATTGTGCGCCTCTCGCCACCTGCCGCCGTCTGACACCATCCTGGTGCACCTGTGTCTGGCTAACCTGCTGACGTCAGTGTTCCGCACGGTGCCGATCTTCGTGTCGGACCTGGGCCTGCAGGTGTGGCTGACGGCGGGCTGGTGCCGCGTCTTCATGCTGCTGTGGGTGTGGTGGCGGGCGGTGGGCTGCTGGGTCACCTTGGCTCTCAGCGCCTTCCACTGCGCCACCCTGCGTCGCCAGCATGTCTCCATGGGGCCGCTGGGTCACTCGCGGGAGCGTCGCCGCGTCTGGGTCGTCCTGGCGGTGGTGTGGGCTGCAAACCTGCTGTTCTCGCTGCCGGCGCTGGTCTACACCACACAGGTGCGTGGGAACGCTACGGTGGAGCTGATGGTGATTAGCTGCACCACACGCCCCCTGCTGGGCTGCGTCTGGGAGTTTCCCACCTTCCAGCAGGGCTATGCCTTCGCCTCCTCCTCGCTGGCACTTAATGAAGTGCTGCCGCTGGTGCTGATGGTGGGCACCAATCTGGCAACCCTGCAGGCACTGGGCAAACACATCCGGACGGTGAGGGCGGGCGGCAGCACGGGGGCGGAGCTGGACCGGCACGTGTCCAGCGAGAGGAAGGCGGGTCACGTCATCATGGCTCTGGTGGCACTGTTCGTGGGCTGCTGGGTCCTGCAGGTAGGCACAGGATGGCAACTAGTTTTAAGCTTTACCACGGTTTGGAAGGGGCATCACGGTGACGCAGTGGATAGCAAGATCGCCTCACAGGAAGGTCGCTGGGTCAGTTGGTGTTTCTGTATGGAGTTTGCATGTTCTCCCCGTGTTGGCGTGGGTTTCCTCCGGGTGCTCCGGTTTCCCCCACAGTCCAAACACATGCGCTATAGGGGAATTGATCAACTACACTGGCTGTAGTGTATGAGTGTGTGTGTGAGAATGAGTGTGTATGGGTGTTTCCCAGTACTGGGTTGCAGCTGGAAGGGCATCCGCTCTGTAAAACATATACTGGAATAGTTGTCGGTTCATTCCGCTGTGGCGACCCCAGATTAATAAAGGGACTAAGCCGAAAAGAAAATGAGTGATGAATGACGCGGTTTGGAAAAGTCGTAAAACCTCTAACATTCTGTTTCCTGTATATGTGCACGGTTTTTATTGTGTTTTTGTAGGTTGTGTTTAAGCTTTTACAGGTAGTTTGTTAGTGCAGCAGTATCTCAGTGTAACCGTGATATCTCTCTCTAAGGTTATCATATTGTCAGAGTCTTACACCGGATCATACCTCTCTGCAGGTCGCCGCCGTCACCTACTACAACCACAACCGCGGCGCTCACGCTGAGGGGCTGCTGACCGTGGCGCATTTCTCTGCGTCGCTGTTCGTGGGCTTCAGTCCGCTGGTGGTTGCGCTTGGACACGGTAAGCTGCGGCGGAGGATCAGCGGGATCCTGCAGAGCTGCATGCACCGGCTCAAACAGACACAAGACAAACCAGCAGAAATCACGGAGAAAGACGGACGAACAACACAGAGTGCCATGAAATAACGACCCCATGTAGCATTGAATTTAAGATTCTTCGCAATTGATGGCGAGTCAAATGATTGTGTAAATTTTCAACAGAGAGTCAGAGAGTGTGTGAGAGAGAGTGTGTGTGTGTGTGAATGACGCAGCATGTCTAATAGCTCATTGTTAGCCTCCTCCACAAATATTTCTGAGAATGTTGGGTAATCCTCATTGGTGCAGCACATCCAGTTTACAGAGAGGAATAAACTGCCACTACATCTGCAGCCCAAATTGTACACTATGCACTATGCACTTACACACTCCACAGTATAGGATATGTATGTAGTGTCGTCATAAATGGAACACTAATGTTTCTTTACTAAGCGAAAAGTCAAAACCGTTTCCAGGATGACGTTTGATGGTTGCCAAATTAGCTAAATAAATGACCAAATACTACATATGACCACATTCACCATTGGGAGGCGCTATAATCACTCTCATTTAGGGTTGGGTAACAAAACCCAGTGCCATTATAGCACCGGTACCTTTGGAATCGGTATGCACCGGACTGAATCAGCATATGAATTTCAGTGCCTAATTCCGGTGCAACTGGTGCTGCAACAAGAACGTATGCCATGCGTTTTAGATTTCGCAAGTCGGCGGCTGTCCGTGGTGCCCAGCCACGACTAATGACTGTTCATATTTCTGCAGTGCCACAGAGCACCATCAGGATAGTTTCGTTTTAAATAACATGCGAATGTGCACGTCTGTTGTGTGATGCCATCAACTGTCATGTGCGCGTCGTGCCGCGGCTCTGAGCGGCGCATCCAGTGTGTGACGTCCTTAAGAAGCATCAAGGGGTGCATCAAAGGCACACATAGGTAAGCGTTGTGTCACACCATCTCTAAATGTTTAATTCTAAACAGGTTTGAGGGACACTGATGTCAGCGATGTCAGGCGTTTGTTATTGTAGCTTGAAGAGGGCTTAGCGCGCAGTACAGCACATGCGGTGAGCGACTCCCTTCATCAACACGTACGATCGCGTTCATCTAATTAACACAAAAATGCAACAGTCTATTAACCACATCATGTTTCATAGTCATTTATTAAATTAATTACAATTTAATATAAAAATTAAAGGCTGATCAATTATAATGACTAATATATCAACACAACCTCACGGCAATTCGTAACTTTTTCATTTAGTGGCTAATTCGTATGAATTCGTACAATCTAACTCGTATAATTTCGTACGATTTGCTCATCCCCCAATGACGGTTGGGGTAAGGGGTGGGGTTAGGTGCCACGCCTCCTTTTTCGTACGAATTCGTACAAATTAGCCACTAAACTGGCAAAACGTAAAATACTTACGTTTTCTCATGAGATCAGGCTGAATATATATATATTTTGTCAAATAATTTTGTGTCTATAAAGTATCAGTTCAGGCCCTGTTTTGGCACTGGTACTGCTTTAAAAGTATCAATTTAGCACCGGTATCGAAATAACCCCAAACTATACCCAACCCTACTCTCATAGGAGAATACTGCTTTCACAATCCAAAATAAATTAAGCAAGCCAACATGAGCACCCGATTGCTCTGTCCTTTCCAACAATCCACTCTTGATTTTACAGAATGAATGAGTGCATCATCCGGGTAACTAAAGTGCACTATTCTTAGAGTTTTCAATGTGAATGCACTACTGACACTATTTATACTACAAAATGGCGTAGAATAGTGCATGAGTATGCAATTTGGGACGCACCTTATGGCAGCTGTAGCTACTATAGTTTCTAATGTTTAAGTGAAGCGCATTTATTTCAGCTTGTGATCAAAACTGACTGGAACTACCTTTGTTTGCTGCCTAAATTGTTATTGAATTACCTGTTCAAGATGTTCATCTGTCTCCCAACTCTTCTTTTAGAGTATAACCCATGCGGCATTAAACCGTCTGTCAAAATCAAATAAAGGCTGAGACATGGTTTTACATGATGCAGTGGTTTGTTGTAACTTGTTAAATCTACAAAACTGTTTCGGCACAGATATGCCTGCTTTCTATAGCATAGGCCTCAAACTCAACTCCTGGAGTGTCGGAGCAAAACTGTGCAGAGTAGCGGCCCAAGGGGAATTGAGTTTGAGACCTATGTTCTATAGCAGCGGTCACCAATCTCGTTCCTGGAGGTCCGGTGCCCTGCAGGGTTTAGCTCCAACTTGCCTCAACACACCTGCCTGGAGGTTTCAAGTATACCTAGTAAGAGCTTGATTAGCTTGTTCAGGTGTGCTTGATTAGGGAACAAGTTTGGAGACCCCTGTTCTATAGGCAGCACAGAGACCATGCTGAATATTGATGTGTTGACAAAGAAGGACACACACAATTTCCCTTTAAGACAAAACTTCCCTCTAGTTTAGGGGTGCCCAAACACTGGAGGGCCAGTGTCCTGTAGAGTTGAGCTCCGACCCCAATTAGACACGCCTGAACTAGCTAATCAAGCTCTTACTAGTCATACTTGAATAGTCCAGGCAGGTGTCTTGAGGCAAGTTGGAGCTAAACTTTGCAGGACATCAGCCCTCTAGGACAGTTTGGGCAGCCCTGCTCTAGAAGGACTCTTGGCCACATAGGTTCAGGGCTACTTTAAAAGTGGGGAAGGGGGTGTGGCCTGTTTCCTCTATCTGGTCCACCCTGGGATTTCATCAGTCCCCGTTTTTGATTTGGTCCCCTGTAATAGCCCTTACTCCACCCCTCCCAAATACATAGGAATAGGAATAAAATCCTCCAAGCTGATTTACAGAGGTGCATTTTTTATTTAATCAGTCAAACAAACACAGAGCTGGATCTCAGACATGACAACAACGTGATGAAGTCCTCTCTGCATCCGACCAGCATGCCCGAACTAAACAGGCAGATTTACATGCCGAGACACAGTTTCCGGATCGATCTGGAGAGCGACAGTCAGATCATATGCGACAGGACTGACTTTATGAAGGCCCTGAGCTTCCGGTGTCCCACAGCAAGGATGATGGGGGAAAACGCAATGAAGCTCATGTTCACGAATCGAGCAATGATGAGCAGGAACTCTGTGGACTGTCCGCGGTTGTAATTGAAATAGTTGACCGAGATGACATTAGTGCCCCAGGATGAAATGAAGAGGATGTTGAGAGCCAGAATCACCTGTGCAAACAAAGGTTCTGTTAGTGCTGTTCAGCCCAACTCAGCAATTGCAGATAGAGAGTCTGTACTCACTTTAGCGGCCCGCCGCTCTGCAGGGATGCGGGAGACCACCGGAGCGTCCTCACCCTGACTGGCAACAGTGCGCTTGTGTCCGTGTGCATACAGCGTGCAGAGCGAGCCCAGATTGGTGATGTTCATCAGGCAGATGGGGATGGACTCGTGGAGGATCATGGAGGAGGTGGCGAAGGCCAGGCCACTGTAGGCTGAAGGAAAGTCCCAGATGCAGCCCAGCAGTGGCCGAGTGGTGCTGCTCACCAACATCAGCGTCTGCAGGACACACCAGAGGTACACGGTCAGGCTTATCCAGCTGAACAATAATCTAGAGATGTTCGGTGCTGATCCTGGACACCCACTGCCCTGCAGTGTTTATCCAAACACAAAAACAAGCAGGCATGTGGTAAAAGCTTTGTCAAACAGGACAATCTTAGATTTCAGAACAGACAGGGATGGAGCTGGTCTAATGGAAAGAGGCTAATCATTTCAAAGTTTAGCAGCAGCTACAAAATATGGTGATATCCTCGACATTGTAGCCTAAACTTAGGAATGAACAGAAGTCTCTGATTTGATGAGTGAAGTGATGTGTTTGGCTGGTGCTCAGTCAAGAGGGCAGAAAGGTAAGATAGTCTTAAGAAGTAAAGATGTAACATTTTTAAATCCCCTCTGTAGCGCAACCAGTGAAGCAAACGCAAGACAGGAGTAAAAGGATCATGTTGACGTGCAACGGTTAAAAGTCTGAACAATTGTAATCAGGACACAGCTGAATGGCTGATCCCAAAATAAAGAGAACTGCAGTAGTCCACTCTTGACTCAGGACTGTAAACCCCTGGAATAAAGAGATGGACTGACCTCTGTGGAGTTCTCGTTTCCGTTCTTGGAGAAGATGAAGGCAGGGATGGAGTAGATCAGGTTGAGGCTCCAGATGAGGCAGAAGCCCAGGATGAGGGATAGTGGGGGTCCGCGAGGGCCGTGCAGGTTGATGACAGGAGGAGCGACCCGACGCAAGGTTTGGAAGTGAAACGCGCTCAGAAAGAACGTCGACCAGACATTAGCAGAGCGGACCCAAACCCACAGGCCCATCATGAACTGACACATATCTCTACTGAGGAAAATCTGCAAGAGATGTACAGAACATTAGAGAGTGGTTATTACACAAGATATTGACATATCTCCTCAATGAATTTGTTGGGTTCAGGATTATGGTTTAGCTGTAGAGATTGAACCTTGACCTCAGTCCCTCAACAGTTCTCTACTCATGATCAACTACCCCCAGACGTACCTCCACTCCCAGGTCGGACACCATCAGGACTGTGTTCCTCAACAACGACACCATCAGGTTTGAGAAAGCCATGTTGACCAGAATGACATCCGAGCTCCGCACGGTTCCCGTCTCCTGCAGAAGGCTCTGTCCGACCACCGCGATCACCGTAGTGTTCCCCGCGTTCCCCAGCAGCACCAGAACCACGTACAGCATGATGTAGAATGGAGATGAAGTGATACGCTGACTGATGTTCACGGGTTTCTTTTGAGGCGCCATGTTCCTTCTTTTGCACCAATGAAGCAATGAAGTGTTCTTCAGCGATCAATAGAGTGTTCTTCAGTGATCAGTAGTATCCTTTCAGGATCAATAGAGTGTTCTTCAATATTAAATGAAGCGCTCTTCAATCCACGCTCTAGAGTTCTTCAACGATCAATGTGATGTTCTTCAATCATTGGAGCGTCTCTCAGAAGGTCTGGATGTTGTCATTTCTCCATCCCCGTTGTCTCCCTCTCTCCACAAGCCCCTTTTATAGGTCCCGGTTGCCAACAGAATATCAGCCCAAAGCAGCATCAGCTTCATCCTGCTGTCATAGACGCGGTGAATGGCAGCTGAGATTCCACCAGAGATATGGATGTTTTGGGATCAATGTGCTGAGCTTGCGTCCTCACACACGCGGGATTAACTATCCCCACCAGGTTAATTAGACTCTCGCTAGTAAGCAGCCTAATTCATTAGTAAACCCACCACAATCCCATAGAGTGTGGGTCCAAAGACACTTAAGAAGGTCCGTACTAGCACACGCTCGAGCTGATAGAGCTGCCATTTAATACTTTGTTTGCACTTTTTACTCTATTTGATAGAGCATCCTGAGTCAAACTATTGATCCTGAGAATAATGAATGCTGAGGGTCGATTTAGATGATGCAGAAGTTCATGATCCGCCACCATTGAGTTATTGTGTCACATTATTTGGGAAATTAAACCACAAACATTTCGGAACATTTCAGTTACAGTCTCCGGAAAGATGTTGGAACATTGTTGGAAAAAGTTATTTTTTCTAAAGTAATGTATATTAAAGTCGTAAGCCCTTAAGTGACTGAAAAATGTAATATATTACTTTTAAAAATAACGTTCCACCAACACTGTTTATTAACAGATTTGACAGATTTGTCATTTGTGTTCATATTTATGTTATACTATTAATAACAATGATTTATTAAAAAGGGAACTTTATGTTGACGCGGTTCTGAAATGAGAAACAAAATGTAGGGCGGTGCAGGATTTCATTATTTAGGAAGCGATTGGATTGACAGACTGCTAACAAAATGAAGGAAGATTGACCAATGGATGAGACACGCACTGATAGCCCCGCCCTAAAGGACTGAAAGCCCCACCCCAAACTACTGATAGCCTCGCCCTGGCAGATTGATAGCCCCGCCCCAAATAGCATTCGTTCTGCCTTAACGAACAGATAGCTCCGCCCTAAAGGCATTCCATGTGACCAGGAATCTAAGAAAAGTGGTTTGTCAGAGCAGGGAAGGTTAATTGATTATAGATCACGAGGGCAAATTCATTCATTCATTTTCCTTCAGCTTATTAATCAGGGGTCGCCACAGCGGACAGCTATATTCCAATACATGTTTTACACAGCAGATGCCCTTCTAGCTGCAACCCAGAACTGGGAAACACCCATACACTCTCACGTTCACACACACTCAAGGGCAAATAAATTTTTACAAAATAATAAGTGAATAAAATAATTACTAAATCTACCACAGTATATACATGAGAAAATAAGAAGAGCACATTCTGTTTTCATGGCGACTACAGTGAATTGTGGTGAATGTAATGGTTGGTGAAATAGCGCTGCCCTTTAAACTCGAAGCACAAACAGACAACTATTCACATTATAAAGGTTTACGAATAAAAACAAACAGAATGATGTACAGATCTCGTGTCAGACGCTGTAATGTGTGATGCTAGTTTCCGCATTAGCGAGAGACTGATCAGATTGAGGCGGATGTAAATTTTGAGTGTTTTCCACAAACTGCGATTTTCTCTCTATCGTATAAAAAATGTCGCTGGTTGTCGGTGCCAATAGGCTAGTGGTTTAGTGCAGCGACATATAGCACCATGGTGCTCACGGTGACCCGAGTTTAATTCCCAGCTCGAGGTCCTCTGTCAACCCTTCCCTTCTCTCAATACTGCCACCTCTACTGCCGTTTCCAAACAAAGGTGAAAAACTCCAAAAATATTGATTAATAAATAAATAAAAACCCTGGTCCGCCCCTTATGATAACTAACCATGCTTATTTTATACCCAGCATGCTCCATGTCAACCTGAAAATCAAAAATAACAACATCTAAAACATCTAAAAAAAAGAACTAACTTTCGATGCGTTTTCGATGCTAATTTAACGTCGTTTTGACATGCAGGTAGTTTAAATGCATTTTACAAGCACTAAATCCAGTGCAGGCGACGCAGTGGCGCAGTAGGTAATGCTGTCGCCTCACAGCAGGAAGGTTGCTGGGTCAAGCCTCGGCTAAGTTGACATTTCTGTGTGGAGTTTGCATGTTCTCCCTGCATTCGCATGGGTTTCCTCCAGGTGCTCTGGTTTCACCCACAGTCCAAACACATGCGCTATAGGGGAATTGGGTAGGCTAAATTGTTTGTAGTGTATGAGTGTGTGTGTGGGTGTTTCCCAGAGATGGGTTGTGGCTGGACGGGCATCCGCTGCGTAAAAACATGCTGAATAAGTTGGCGGTTCATTCCGCTGTGGCGACCCCGTATTAATAAAGGAACTAAGCCGACAAGAAAATGAATGAATGAATGAAAATCCAGAGCAAGTGTGTAATCCGGCATTAAAGCTTTCAGGTGTTCAACCGTTCCGTGTCGTTATTGTGGAGGTCAAACAGCATCAGTGTGTGGGCGTTCAACAGATGTAAGTCAATAGTGTTTTATTGTTGCCGTATTGATTACTGTTTGTATAATCAGTTTTACGGCAAATGCCACGGTTAAACTATGGTAAACCTGTAACAGGCATTGTAACCACACAGTCGATGTGTGTGAATGGGTCATCTGAGCTCAGTCCGCTCTCAGAAACACAGTTTTACAGAAGAATTTCTTGTGTACCTGTTAATGGGCTAAAGCACAGGTCACAAACTGGATTCCTGAAGGGCCGCAGCTGATTTGAGCAAATCTCTGCAGAACTATTAACCACAAATCTTCATTTGAGGTAATGACAGTATTTTTCATGACAGTCAAGCAAACCTAGAGCTGATTTATTTCATTCACACATGCGAAATGAACTCAACTGCTCTGAAAGGCATCCCTCTTGAAAAGATCCATCTCAGTTATCTGCTGATGGATGGTCAGTCCAGTGTGGCGATGCTGCAGTATGAGCACTAGGTGGCAGCACACACTCATCAGAGCCTCACAGCTGCGCTCGGAGATAACAACACAACTCAATACTGCAGTCAATGGGACTCAGACTCTCTGATGCAGGAAACATCAGTAGATGAAGCACAAGATGAGGAACTCTTACATGTCCCTGATTAAGGCATCCGTCTAGTGCTTGGCTCCAATGTTGAAGACTAAAGAACAACCTGCTGGGTAAATATAAGACACGCTGGGTTAGTCTATCATAAGAATCAGGCTGCACAGTTAACCCGAGATACTAAAGAAGTATACCTCACACCAAGAAGGTCGCTGGTTTGAGTCTCGGCTGGGTCAGTTGGTATTTCTGTGTGGAGTTTGCATGTTCTCCCCTTGTTGGCGTGGGTTTCCTCTGGGTGCTCCGGTTTCCCCCACAGTCCACCTGTGCTATAGGGGAATGGAATAAGCTAAATTGGCCATAGTGTATGGGTGTTTTCCAGTAATGGGTTGCAGCTGGAAGGCCATCCACTGCGTAAAACATATGCTGGATAAGTTGGCGGTTCATTCCGCAGTGGCGACCAATGATTAATAAAGAGACTAAGCCGAAAAATAAGTGAATGAATGTCCTGATTATGAATGATCTACTCTATCTCTAATGTTTGCACGTCTCTACCTGGTTGCATGTCTATAAGGTGCATTTAATATGCCATAAATTAATAAACCTAAATTTAATGCATCCGTTTTGGTGCACCAGTTTAAATAAAGCAATGGATTTTAAATGCCACACAACTGCTTTCATTGTTGGGTAATCAATGCAACTTTATTAAAAATAAATATGTGACACGTTACATATACCTGATGATGCTGAAAATAGATATATTAGAAATAAATAAAAGGCTATATATATTATACAGTCAAGCCCAAAACTATTCAAACCCCTGGCAAATTCTGACTTAAATTCCGACTTGTTGAATTTGGGAGTACGGTATGATTTCGTGCTCGACTGCATGTATATATTTCATTTCTGAAGCTTGTATGTCCATAGGTGGCGACAGAGAGCGATTGAATGTGTCAGGATTGACGCTAGAAATGCTCGCAGTCTCCGGTGTCCCACGGCCAGGACGATTGGTGAAAGTGCGATGAAGGTGATGTTGCCGATACGAGCGGCGATGAGCAGCCAGTCTGTGGACGATCCGCGGTTATAGTTGAAATAGTTGACAGAGATGACGCTGGTGCCCCACGACAGAATGAAGAGGATGTTGAGCGCCAGAATCACCTGCGCAAACACACAGAGACGTCTCTTTATTATCACGTACTCTACAGCATTATTAACGCAATTCCATTATGCTTAAAACTGCGCAAATTGAAATTCAGAATTAAAAACACAACTATTACAGATGAGTAAATTTCGCAAAAACAATAAGTTGCTCGCATGAGGTTTCAAAAAAGGACACTTTCTCAAAATTGCAATGGAAACATTTTATTTATTTTTGTACTTACGTGTCTTGGAGTATGCTACAGAATATGATCAATCTTAATGATGCGGTAGGATCATTCGGTAGATCTGAATCCACTTGAAGAATTTTTTATTTTAAACATTGCACATTCTTACAAGAGTTAAAAAGATATTCTGCATTTGGTTAAGCAGGTGAATTCGTAATATTAATGCTTTTTTAGCGATGCAGAGACTGTGTTTATATTTAGTTTATTTAATTTTATTTAACTCTTTAGAGACTGAGTTTATCAAACGTGCGGCCACGGTTCAATACTGCTGCCTTATTAAATGTTAAAACTAAAACAAGAGCTTCAAATATTTGTGTTATTTCTTTAGTAGCCTTAATAACGCTAATTAAAAATAACTTTTGAGGAATAATAATGATTTAATATAGTGCAGCTGTGGTTAACTTCATTCTTTAATGCTTGGATGTAGAGATATATTAACAAGGTACAGAACTTAAGCTGCGCTCACACTAGAGTTTGTGCGTAAGAAATTCTGTCGTACGGCGCTGTCAAAAGGGGCGGGATTAAACAAGTTTATTAGGCATTAAGTGACTGCACCATGTTTTAAATTTCTGTCCAGAGGTTATGTGATGCGATTTCACAGGTCAAAGTTCACCCAGCTTGAACTTTGCAACGAAGTGAACTGCGAAATTTGACGCACGAACTTGCGTTTTCGATCTGACGCATTCGGGTGTGTATAAAGGAAAGTCTATAGGGAGAAAAGTGTGAGTGCAGCTTTAGTCTTAATACAATCTTAATTTATTAGTCCTTTATGTAAATTTGCATTAATGCATAATGATTTGCTAATAAAGCTTCTATAGTCTCCCTCTGTGAGAAATAATAATGTGTTAAGTGTGATGCATGTGGACGTGATTTTTGAAAACAGTTATTTACGATTTTAGGTTGAATTTAGTTTGAAAACAAGTGGATAATGCTAATGCTGCCAAGAGTTGACACTAATATTGCTCAAAAATTGCGTAAAGGTGTAATGGAAATGCTTATTGATGCAATGTAGTAAGAGTTCTATCCTCAAACATGAGCTGACTTGCTCATGAACTCCCAGCGGACCCTCTTCCCAAAGGATCGCAGCCATAATGGAGGATCCATGATGATCATTAGTACAGGAAATGACATCATCATTACACAATTAGAGTTCGGGTCTGGGGCAGTGCTGATTAGTCCAGTCCAACACAGTTCAGCCCTGAAGTTTCCAGTGAGTGTGATCAGCCGTGTGTGGAGCTGAACCTTGGAGTAAACCTTTCTATCGTCCGGACAGATTTGACAAAGCCACCAAAACCCAAACCAGACTTTAACTGGTTTATGAAACATTGAGGTCATCTTGTTGGTAAAAATCAAGCTCTAGTAATCTCTATTAATAAAAGTAACCATAAATATTGATGACATCATCGGGCAGTTTCTCTTTGTCCAGCAAGAGAAAGCACAGAAAGCCAAATAATTTGCAGATAGAGGACATGAATATCATCATCGATGTGTAATCTTTACATCATATTAAGATCTGGGTTGAAGCCTAGTGATACTTAACATTACAGTCACATGACCTAACCCTAACCCTGGTCAGTGTACCGTTCACATAGCAATCATTTAGCATCGAAACAGTGCATGTGCTGACAGATTTTATTAAGGGTCCACATGTGCACCTGCATTGTCTTGCAGTAACTGCTTCAACCACCAATAGTTGAAGAAAGACAGCACAAATGAAACTGAACTGATGCGCATGTAGATCAGGGATTGTGCAATACAGTTGGAAAGTACTGAAAGGTTAACGTTTAGCAAGAGATTGCACCTGGATAGACCAAAAAAGTTAGTATACTTTAAGTTTAAGACCTGAGTCTTCTTTGACGATCTCCTTACCTTTGCTGCCCGTCGCTCTGCAGGGATGCGGGAGACCACCGGAGCATCCGAACTCTTCTTGGCGGCTCTCCGAGCCTCACCGTGAGCATACAGAGCCAACAGGGAGCCCATGTTGGTGATACTCATCAGGCAGATGGGGATGGACTCATGGAGGATCATGGAGGAGGTGGCGAAGGCCAGGCCACTGTAGGCTGAAGGAAAGTTCCAGATGCAGCCCAGCAGTGGCCGAGTGGTGCTGCTCACCAACATCAGCGTCTGCAGGAGAGGTCAAAGGTTAAAGTAAAGGAACTCACATGTCAAACTCAACCAGGGACCGCTAAAGAGATGGACTGACCTCTGTGGAGTTTGCGTCTCCGTTCTTGGAGAAGATGAAGGCAGGGATGGAGTAGATCAGGTTGAGGCTCCAGATGAGGCACAAGCCAAATATCAGGGATCGTGGGGGTCCGGGGTGACCGTGCACATTCGAGACAGGAGGAGCGACCCGACGCAGAGTCTGGAAGTGAAACGCGCTCAGAAAGAACGTCGACCAGACATTAGCAGAGCGGACCCAAACCCAGATGCCCATCATGAAGCGGCACCAGTTTCTATTGAGGAAAACCTGCGAGGAAAGAAGGTAATGATTTCAGACTGAACACACATCAACACATTTATAATTACTTTACTTTGATTTTTTACACGTTTAGTTGACTTTAATTTACATGCCAGCTAATTCTCATCAGAGCACTGGAAGACTGTGAGTAGACCAAACATTCTCCTGAATGTCAACTTACACTAACCCTAATTCTAAACGCTGATTTATACAACTGCGTCAATCGCACGCTTATGCTACAGCGCAGCCTGCGCGTTGACACATAGCCCTACGCTGTGGCCGTCACTCAAAAAATGTAACTACACGTCGCAATGTCACGTAGCGCAAGCTCTGTGATTGGTCGGCATGGTAGCGCTGACGAGTCTGGGCGGGACCGAGAGCCGCGTGAATGGCGCGGGCCTGATGGAGCGATTGTTTACAAGTGTGGAGTCCCGTGAAGGAGCTCTGGATGAAAAGTTTTGTTTTGTGTTTACCTCATAGTTAAAGTTGCTGCACGTCCGCCGGTTCCTGCCTCAAAATGAGCGAGTTTGAGCCACTTGTACATCCCGGAAGTGTTCAGAAAAAAACAAAACAGCAGTGAAGAAACTCGACACAGAGGAACATTTACACCTCACTGCCCACTAGCGCTTCAGAAGTGTTAATGCAGACCAACAGAGACAGCGTGCAGAAGTATAAATGCACAGCTACGCGCGTTGCATGCGCCGTGGGTTACGCCGGTCACTTGACGCAGAAGTATAAACCAGGCTTTACGAGAATTAGTTGCCATGTTGCTGCAGTGTAAATTATATTCAACAAAAGATACCATAAAATTAAAGAGATGCCATAAATTCATAACCAAGGTCAAGCTAAATTGACTGTAGACATTGTTCTACATCTGCCTTATGTTTATATTTTAGCATTTACCAGACGCTTCTATCCAAACCAACTTACACACACACACCTGGAGCAGTGGGCTGGGGGGAGTAGATGGGGGTTTGGTGCCTTGCTCAAGGGGCTCACCTCAGCTGTGGTATCGAGGGTGGTGAGAGCACTGGTTATTCACTCCCAACACTTCACAATCCCTGCTGGTGCTGGGACTCAAACCTGCAACCTTTCTATCACAAGTCCAGTTCTATAACTGTTGGGCCACGGCTCTCCCACATACACAGAGGTTTACCACTCCTGTTGACCTTTTCTCATCCAATTTTGGAAAACCGAATCTAGTCCTTATTCCTACCTAAATAATGGAAAATGTTCTGTTTTTGAAGCGATACGTGAAGCTTGGTGGAAATAAACAGAATCAATTTCCACAGAGAACCTTGCATTGACCGCATATTTGGCTTTTATCTAAACAACTTGTATTATTTTGTCCAATCTCAGAGAAGGATTGTGGTAGTTCTCACACAGTCTGCTTTGACCTGACTGTTTTAACCTCTGCCTTGGACCAATCTAAATCCCTGCACAAGGGAACCTCTGTGCACCTCCTTCAGGCACTTTTACTCCAGCCTAGGCACGGGTCCACTGCTTTCTAGTTTGAGATTTAACAGCTCCAAAACTTTGAAATAATTTTATCAAAGCTAAATTAGCTTAACTTAGGATCTAAACAAGTTGAAGTCTAGCACAGGTATACAGTAGTCAACATTAGAAATGGATTAAACGACTTCTTCAAAGTTGTCCTAAGACAAGAACGATCAGTGCACATTTTTTGATGAGATGTATTGCTCCACTTCAGAGGTACTGTACTGTATACCTGTATTAGATGTCCTCCTGCTTACATCTCACAATAGGACTGGACTTGTCGACTGTACCTCTTGCTCTTATCAGCGGTCTGAAGATCAACCGTGTGTATCACATCAATTATTAA